CATCTTTCTTCTTTTACTCTCGTCCCATTCCACCTCCAGCCAACACTGACGCTTCAAGCAGATCAGATCTCAGATTTCTCATACTTGATCAATTTATACCATACATAAAGCTGAGAACCAGCTTCCTTCAGAGTGTCAGCAAACTCTGTGCCTGACAAAGTATCTTAAACATCACATTTAGAGGAAGGGCTGGTTGCTGGGTAAATAGGCAGTGAAAAAGCAAATTGAGATCACTATGTGGCTTCAGAACCACAGATTCTGACAAGGGCTTACTGTGCCTTCAGAAAAAGTAAATGATAACTTTAGAGACATCTGGTGTGTGAGTTTTTCCCCAGGACTTTTATTCTTTGCATGGAGGCAATACGTGATCACATTTTACAGATGTCTGGACAGACATCAAATTAACTCAAAATTATGTGGGATAAAATGTATTTCATACAAAATATACAGGGATAAAGTTTTCAATGTAAGTTACTATCAGTTAATTTTATGGAACTCTTAAATAAAAATATCTTTCAGCATCAAAGTATGAAAAGTTCATTTATTTCCATAGGCAACTTCATTCAGAGTACAAAGTGATATGAATTTCTCAAAACCGTCACTGTACCTTTTATGTATTTTTTTAAGTAACTGATCTAAAAGTTGATACAAGAATAAATTTGTTTTTGAAGAGCTGTCCAATAAACCGGATATATACTAATGCCATGCTATGACAGTTCTGTTTATGAATCACAGTTGACACTACAGTAACATCACTTTATAAATTTCATGAGAATTTTAATATTTTACAATCAAAACATAAAACTGCCACTAGTACAGAGACTGTACAATTAGACAAATAAACAAGTATTAAATATTTTGCACAAGGCCTGAGTTCACTATAACATATTTTGATTTACAATTTCATCTTGGAAATCTGTACAGCATTTAGAACCGTTTCAGAGAACTTATAGATAATACACCTTCAGGGGCTTATTTGTTCTCTTGATACAAGTGCGAGGCCTGGAAGGCAAGAGGATTTGGTGTATGAATCCAAGATTTTGCTGCCTTGTGTTATCTCATTGTATGGCTGCCAAAACCAAATGGAAAGTAAGGTACAAAGCAGCACCTCACTTGAAAAGGTTTCCTCACAGCTATTTCAGAGTAAAAGTTCATTATGAGTATATAAAATGCAGCATATCTCTGAACAAAGAACAAAACAGGGTCACATACACAATAGGATACTTCTTCTGTATTGCCCCCTCCTCCCCCCAGTGGAAATGGCACAAATCAGTGATATTCCACCCACAATAAAAAAAACTCCTGATCGAGACACAAAAGTCACTCTGAAGTCCAAAAATTTCACCTGCAATGAGAGATCCAGTGTTCATAAACTTGTTTAAAAACCTCTCCTTTTCTGATCAAGTCATGTAGATATAGGCAGACTAAATGTGAATTTATAATAGATAAGAAAAAAGTACCATCTAATTGTTAGCCTGTATGGAAGCCTTCTGGAATTTGATTCAAATCTTTGCTCCTTTGGTGCAATTGAACTGAAAAAAAACCCAAAACACTAAAATCCTGTAATCTGTATCCACAATTACTTATCTACCTACAGATGTAGCCTACATTATAACAGGGGTTATAATACAAAAGTTAACACACATTTTTCTTACTTTAACAGGCCATTACGGAATTCGTTAAAGCTTCACATAAATGTGAAACGATGTGTTGCTAAAAAGACAAAACATAACAGAAAAGGAAAGTTTTAAATAATAAGGCTTGAACTACTGTGCACTATACATCCAAAAAATTCAGCCTTTTACTTGGGTACTCAGCATCTGTGCAAACCTGTAAGGCCACAGCTTCCCCATATTTCTACTTCACATCACCATTGAGAGAGGAAGATGTAGTATCTTCATTAAAAATCATAGGGTGTTCTACCCATGTTCCCAGTAAACTTTCTCTCCCTGTCTCTCAAATAACTGGCAGCTCCTTCACCTTTCAAAGGTACTGCTGTTGTCCCACTTAAGCAGGTTCCACAGGCTGTTCTGTGCCTTATTCACAACATGTGTGTGCTGAAAAGGAACATAAAACCTCCTCCCCCCTCAATCCTTGCACTGGCACTTGTGCCATTCCACTCCCCGTTTCTTTCCTCTTGAGAGACAGGCCTAAGGGCTTCTGAACTGACCTGTAAATCAGTCGTTTCAAGGCTCCTCTCCATCAGCCCCAGCAGAGAAATTTTTTCAATACTCTTTAACACATTCCTCTCATCTTGCAGGATTAGTTTGTTTTCCAAGATTGAGTTTTCAGAGAATGTCTCAGATACGTAAAACCAAATGAAACCAACATTTATAACATGTGAAAACACTTCTGTGTTGGTGCAGTCACATTCACTAAGCACATACCAGAGCATCCAAAGCACACCTAATGTTTATAAGTAAGATTTGCATGTATTTCCACTTCTCTTCTCCTTTTGTAGTAAGCATAATATAGATAAATCATTTAAAGAATAGGAACTTACTCCCTTCTCTTCAACCTCTCTTTCGCAAATGAATGCCAAGTAAACCAGTGGGATGGACAGTTCAGCTCAGACTTTGCTCTAATTCCCACAGTGAAACAAAATAATTAGAGAAATAATTAGAGAAAGCACTTACAAGGAAGAGGAATTTTACCCTCTCATTTTAACTTATTTTTCTTCTTTTCAAATAACTTTTTGTTTTGTTATAACTTTTTGTTATAACTTTCATAAGCACCCTTTTCAATTTTCTTAGTAGTTAATCTACTCTGCTGAAAATTGCAGCAAATGACAAATCAAAATTACATTCTCAGATACAAGTAGGAAAAAAAAATCATATTACTTAAGCAAGATAAAGATCTTGCTCCATCACATTACCACTGCATAGAAGAGCCTTTCTTAATTTGAACTTGCAGGATTTTTTTTGACTTTGCTTGTACAAATAGATCACATTCGCAGCCTATGTCAAAAGCACGTACCCCAAACCCCACAGCTCAGGAGGTCTAGCATATAAATGTTGATCAATTTTTTTTTCAGCTCATTTTCCCTCCAATAGGATAAATTAAAATCCAGTTCTGAAAAGCACCCAGTTCAGGGGGATCAGGGACTGAAACTCCAGATGAGGACACTGACATTTAAGACTGCCTTCACCATGAATTAATTTAATACACTGAAGAGGCCTAAGAGATGTTATTTTTAATATAAACTTATTTTCCAAATAATTTAGAGGAACATAGATTCAAGTAATTCTTCAAAAGGTTTGCCTTAAGTTACCCTAAGAAAATGTAACTTTCAAAAGCTGACATAAAAGACATTAGTGTGATTAAGGGTATAGAGTATTAGCAACCATAAATGAACTTAAACAGTTTAACAGTTCTAGTATTGTCTTAAGTTTACACAGATACTTTAACATAACCTACAATGTTCACCAGGAATACTAACAGCACATAAGTATCACAACGTGTTAGGTATTGTATTCTAAACCACAATTTCACTGGTCCCAGGTGTTTTAAAATAATAGGACTAAGGCAGCAGCTATTAATACATAAACAATTCTTTAAGAAGTATGCTTAATGCTTGTACGGCTTAGAACGGTGGAAATATAACAAAAATACAAGTCACATTTACAGCATAAGGCCCTTTGGTTTCTTAAGCAGCAAATGAAAGAACAATTTCTTCAGTGAAAGGCTTTGAAAAATAAAGCATGTAGGCTTCCCATAAAAAAAGGTAACTAGTTCTTTCCTTCTCCAAATAGCCAGCTGTAGTCTTCAAAATATTATGTAAGAAAACTCCCGAAACTCCTAGGAAAGAAAAAGTTAAAACCCAACAGTAGTATCAGACAGAGCAGATTCTATCATGGGCAAGCTGAACATACACCTCCTGGGAAGTAGAAGAAACTACTGTTTGGTTTTTCTGGAGACCTTTATTAAATTTAAAGTAATACAATAAAAAGGATCTGAAATACCTGTGCATTTACCATATATGCTAGGGCTTACAAATCCATATTTTGAAATTCACTTCATATTCATCTATCCTCCATAAGGACGTGACTTAAAACAAAATTAAAATGAAATAATTTATTCTAGTCAAGGCAATTTATGGCAGTCTGTTTTTTTTCACATAACCATGTGCAACTTGCGCAAGGCAATCCTTTCCCATCTTCTCAATGAAGCCAAAACCTATGAACTAATTAAAGATATTTCTGTGTAACTAAACAGTGTGTGCTTAGTTACACAGAACTGCTTAGTTACACAACTGGAGTAGTCAACATCTGAATTTCACAGAAAACATTCTTCATAGGAGGCTCCAAAACTACTCATATTCCTCTCTTCACACCAGTTAGAAGCATTATGAAATTAGCCAAAACACTGAAATATATGAAAAGAAAAATGTGATCAAGTCACATGTATTTTAAAGTCCTGCTTAAGTGGTATGTTGCATTTACTGTTGGGCTGGTAACAAGAATCTGGCATTATGAAGCAGGTTGTAAACCAGCATGACCACTGGAGGAGCATTCTTACTCTGTTCCAAATTTGCACAAAATTTTAAAGTAACTTCTTATGCCTCCTTAATGTTGTTGTAATTTACTACCACATTAATCGTAATTATAAGAGAAGAAATACAAAGTATCTTCTCTTAGCCTCTTACACAGTTACTTATTAGAGAACTTTCTATGTAACATGGCTAACAAAATCTTTTGAGGCAGCATAAGAGTTTACTTTCTGTAAAAAAAAGAGTTTACTTTTGCCATAGCCTATGGCAAAAGGCCAGACTGTGCCCAATTTAGGCAATACAAATCGTCAGTAAGAATTTAGCAGACACTGAAAGGACAAGGCTGCAGGACTGGGTTCACTCGCATTATTATCCCCTATGCATTTTTGTTGAATTTAAGAAACAAAATTTTGCTGGAAATTTCATAGGAGTTGATTGAGTACACTTCAGAATAATTTTGAAATACTTAGCTGCTTCTTCTTCAGGTGAATTTTACCTTCCTCACTCTGATGTTTGGTAAGAAGACAGGCAATCTTTAGCACGTAAAATGACTTTGCACTTAGGCAATTTCACTGCAGTACCAGCTGAATGAAAAATCAAGCCTTTGCATTCCAGTGCAAAAGTCCTTACTTTACTGGGTTGAAAGTTTCCCCAAGTCACGCTTTTACTATTCAAAAGAAGATGTTAATCAGCTTACCCATTATCCAAATTTCATCAGTCTTTGAAAGAAGAAAAAATTCTACCCAAAAAGATCTTTCAGGTCATTACTAGCTGAGCTGCTGTTTGCTGTTGTGTTTGCTGGTTGTGCAAAGTTCTGAGGAGCAAAGAAAGGATTACCCTGTATACCAAAGCCAGGCTGTCCTATCATGTTCATCTGAGGTCCCAAGACTGAACTGCTTGCACTTGGGGAACCTTGTGGGGGTACAAACTGATTAACCCACTGGCTTGATTTCTGTTGTGCCAACTGTTTCATACTAACTTTGGGTTTTTGAGGACCAAAAAGATTATCTAAAGCAGACATATCTGGGGTTCTGCTTTGTTGTGTCAATGCAGAGATTGCAGATGCAGAATTCACAGGACTGTAATTTGGCATATTGGCAGCCGGTACAATGTTCATCTTCATTGTTCCTGTTGCACTTGGACCACTGAAGAAATTCTGAGTGGTGGGACCAGCTCCCATACTGAATCCAGCAGTCTGAAAACCCATATTAGTACTTAGTCCGTTTGTCATATTTCTCGTTGTGTTGTCAATAGTAGATGAAAATCCCATTCCAACACCCATAGAAGGGACAGAAGAGAAGTTGTTTGAAGGTGCAACCTTAGAATAGCTAGTCAAAGATGACATATTTTCTATCAAGGTATCTGTCAAGTCTTTTGTCTGCAAAATACATAAAATGCTGTTAAAGGCTTTTCCTGTGCAAACACTCCAGCAACAGTCTTTATCATTGCTCCTGCCAAAGTGGTATTCATTTTTTAGAAATGAGAATTTACTGTATGAAAATGGGTGTGAAATGTAATTATATGTAACAGCAATTAAGGTATTTTCATTCTTTGCTACTTAGAACTAATTGTTATGCAGCTTTGACAACTAAGACAATACACAAAGTACTACTGTGACATCTTCTTACATGCCCCATTCCTATCCCCAAGCCCTTTGTATATTTACTTAAACTCTTCAGAGCAAGAACTTTTTCAATATGTTATTTTTTTCATAGTGTCCTTCTAATAATACTTATTCCTCTGGAAATCCCTGCAATTTATGAAGTTGGAAATATTGCTAACGGTGCAAATGGAAGGCAGATTGAAATTTATTTTAGTTTTTTTCCACTGTGCCATTGCACTACCAGTGAAAAAAAGGTGACTCACAAGAGAAAAAAAATGCTAAATGCATACAGCACTTGAAAGGAAAAAGCATCACCGCTCCAATGGAAACACTGCAGCAGTTTGTTCTTTCTCACCTGCTTCACTGGAGGTGTTACTGCAGTTGCTTGTGGCTTAAGAGGTTGCTGGCTTTTCAGTTTCTGTGCCTGTTCTTGTTCTTTAGCTAACTTTTGCTTCTCTTCAAGTGTAAGTGATGCCTTTAAAAGGGAAGGTACTGACAATAAGTTGCATAGAATGGTTATTCTTACACCAATATTTTTATTTCATAAATAGCACTGCCATTTCAATAATATGTGGTACATCAACACCCATGATTTATACAGAAGAGCAAGAGGATAAGCAAAAAATCTATTATAATATTTACAATATTGCTAAAAAGTACTTGAAGTAAATAAATACAATATTCAAAGTAGCATCATTTTACCTTTGTCTTCTTAATGTTGAGCATAAGAAAAAGTGTTCTTTGCAGTTTTTTAGTTTTTTGGGTTTTATACAGTTACCAGTTGGCACTTGGTATAGAACTGTAACTGACCATGGAGCTGGAAAACTAAATTTATTTTAAGATTGTTTAAGAGGCTTTTCAGGATTTTAACTCTACTTTTATTAATGATGAAAGATAAAATCTTCAAATCATTCCCTCTTAGTCTAAAATTAGTGAGTGGGTTCAGAGAACAAGAAACGAAAATCATAAAATGCATAGATTCGAGGGAGCTGTTTACATAATTAATAGCATGAAAATAATTTTACAACAATTTATGCTTATTTTTAATATTCTATACCATGTCATGCCTTTTCTTTGCTTTTTGTATTTATCCCCAAATTCACTCTTCATTTTCATTTAGCTTTGCTTTGTGCAGTAAATGTTAGTCTCTGCTACTACATGAAATTCTACATTTTATCTTTATCTCTGAAATTTTATCATAAAGTTGCCTATTTTGATTTTCTTATCTAAATCCACTGCTGAAGTTCAGTTTCATTGAAATCTATGGTTAAGAACAAAGAAAATGACCAAGAATTTATAATCCTAATTGCTGCCTACTTTGTACAAAGCTACAAGGAAAGTCTTTCAAAGAAATTTAAGAATATGATTTGAACATTTTTCAGTGGACCTTCACATGTAACTATGTATGGTGCTGTGCTATACAAAAGCAGTTAGTTTTTCTTTTAAAGCTTTAAATATGATAAATATTTGCACATGCTCTTTTTTATGGAACCGTATCAGCTTTGTATTAGCCAGATGTAACAGGATTGCAAAGTAAAACACACCTTTTTCTGTTTTGATGACATCTCACTCTCTTTAATATCAGATCCACTAGTTAGAAGGTCCGTTCCACTAGTATTAAACACTTTGTCAATCTGTTTAAGTTGAAAGAAACAAAACTTAGTTATTTGAAATGTTGCAATCTAAGGTACCATAAATACTATGTCATTTTAAATTTCAGATTTCTATATGTAAGTAACACAATAAAACATTGTCACTTACCTGATTACTTGTACTACTAGATCTTGCCTCTTCAGTCACATTCATTTGGTTAGCTATATCCAAAGATCTATACAGTATAGAGTATACATATTACAAAAAGATAACTTCACAGTCACATCCACAACACTAATTCACCGACACAGATTCTTCTGCATTTACATAATACCAAAATATTGCATTATGAGAACACTGCCATTTTTACAGAAAGCCTGTAGAAGACTGGAAAACGTTAATGTTCTAAATTGTAAAGTTTTCCCAATGATCGTTTCACGTGGTCTTAGTTCCTCATTTTGAATGAGATGACAGGACTTTGGGTAGGCCTTGTTAATTTGACTCAGAAATCTCACCTTGTATCAGACTTCATAAAATACTTCTAAATACCTTAAAATCTATTAAAAGCCTTCTAAGAGGCTGCAGTGGTTATGCTTCACCGATATGGTTAATTTTCTCAACAACTACAGGAAACCAACTTAGCAAACAGAAGCAAGATATGAACTGTACTAGTGGAGCTCAGTATGAACTTTTACATTTAATGAATTTATTATTTTGAGTCAATAATTTTTAATTAACTGTGACTGAACTGTTTAGAAATAAAGGATTTTATAAAACCACTGACATCACAATCTTCTTATGAGCATAGAATTAATAGATCTTTGCTGACAACCGTGCTTATCTGAGGTAATTCTCAACTACTGAACTAAGAATTACTTAATTTTTTTTATTACTATGGTTAAAGTTTTTTCGCATTTGCTAAAAAACTGACTGAAATTTATCTCTGCTCACTTGTTCCTTTTCTAATACGCATATAAATAAACACTTACTTCTGTTGCTCTTGCATGACATGAAGTTGCTCAAGTTTTGTTTTATGCTCTGCCTCCAATCTATTAAGCATATCTTTTATAACACAAATAAAAGAATTGAACTGTAAAAGAAATATACAATATATTTGGATTTTGTAGTAATGGAATTCAGACATGTATAACTTAAATGGTAATATCTTGTAAAATATAATATTACACAGTAACAGATAAACTGCAGATTTAAAATCATTTATAATCCATCTTCACTATCTTCCATTAGATACCCAGCTATAAGTAGAGTGTATACTGGAACAGTGAAAAGAATATATCACTAAAAAAAAACCCAGATAAATATTACCAGATTAATTTTCAAAAAAAATCCTATGATTGCATTTCTACATTATGTGCAACGTTTACAAACAAGAGCAAGGGAAGAAACATTAAGTTTGTACTTTAGCTTTTAATTATGTTAGGAGCTAACTGCTTTTGCAGGATATTTGGAAGGGGACAGTATTAATTTTGAAATTTTATACTAGATCAGTTAAAACTACTGAAAAATAACAAGCTTTAAACATGTCAATAAAGTAATACTGGCACATTTTTTTGGTTTTTTGCTTTTACAACAGACACAGGCACACAGTAATGCATGAATTTTTCTCTGGCAACAGTTTAAATCTATTCTCTGCCAATTTATCAAGTAAATGCATAGAACATAGCCATATTCCTACCTGATTGAGATTCAGATTGTTCTCAATACTAAGAGGAATCAGATGGGGCAATACTTTTCCTGCAAGCTGTTCTTTGGTAATTCCCAACTTCTTATGAGTAAATGTACATTTGTAAATACCTGACATACAATATCGAAATAGCAAAAACTGTTAAATTTAGTAAACAACATGAACAAAGTAGCACTCTCTATAGGTATTCATCATCTGAACATACACTGGTTCTGTGTGCAAGCCAGGGACAAACATGAGGAACAGAATCATAAAAGCTAAGGACTCATCCACAACACAAAGGTATCATCTATCTCTTGGCTCTGCTGAAGTCCAGAACAACAGGAGGTCCAAAGGAATACTCTGCAGCTATGAAACTTGCTATTAGGTAATATATTGTGCTGGTCAATTATTTGAAAATATGTATCTCTAACATACCACAAGCAACTGAGTTACCACAAACTGACAAATTGCCACTCAGAAATTAAACTGCATTAACTAAGGATGTGTTCTCTCCTGGTATATTGAAGTGTCTAGAATTAACTATCACACTGCCTTCTGATTACATTTTATAAAGAATCTTACCTAAATTCTGGTGTCCATGTTACATGTAAGATCAGAAATCACTGATAAAAAGAATACTGGCAAGCATGAAGAATACAAGGTTAACCCTACAAGTTCTCGAGTGTTTCTTAAAGGAAGATTTCTCTGCTTAAATAGTTCATCTCTGATGGCAAACAATGGACATACTAGCATAAAAAAAAAGAAGCAGCTTTCCTACTTTCTATGCTTAGTATTAGAACAGAGCTGTCAGCTGGCCAAAGAAGATATCACACACAAGATGGAAGGTATTACATTTCTGGAATAAAAGAGAGCCCAAGCATGTAAAATTGATTTCAGCTCATCGTTTCCAAACTAGGGTTCACTTATCTGCTGTATTCAACTAGAATTCAGGAGTAACACAACTAAAATAAATTGTTGTTCATTCTCAGACAGCAAATACAAGTCAAAGCTGCAAGGATTAAGGGAAACAGGCAGCTTTAAATTAGTACTAATAGATGCCCTCTTGCTAATTTTGAGCAAATCCAAATAATGCTAGATCACATATTTTTAGTATTTAATGAGGGCTTCTGCCAGTACAGCTCATCTTGTTACTAATCGTCTTCTGACAACTACTTTGTTGTCAGTAAGAAAAATGGCCACTGTCTTCCAAACTTGGCCATGCAGTCACACCTCTTTCTTAGCAGTGACTCTGGTCATCTGGTCTCCCTAAGCCGATTCAAGTTGTTAAAATCACACCTCCCAAGCTAGGCAAGCACCAGAGTGGCACTAGGAAAGCACAAACAGGACTGAGTCCTCCCCTTTCAAGCTGCTAGGTTTTGTTAGCCATTCTGAGAAACCTCATCCAGACTATGCTTCATTTCAGTGCAAAAAGCAGCCATGACTGCTTACATGTCCAACAAAATGAGTCTAACAAAACTGTAGTGCAGAGCAGTAGATTTGTAGACAATTATTTATAGTGCCTGACGTGCGCAAGTGGTAAGAAAAGACAAAAATAACATCTTAAAAGCTCAGCAGCATCTGAAAGAAGACAGATCATACACTCTTCCAAGGAAAACAGCCTCTCTGGCTGCACGGACCATACAGTCCATGAAAGTGGCATAGCCCAAAAACTGCAGTGAGTAAACACCCAGAACTGCATTGGGCCTTGAAGACATATCTACTAGTGTTCGGAACTAGCTGAAGAAGAGTGGCATACTTAAGAACCAGAAACAGGAGGTTTTAATAGTCCTTTTCACAATACACTTTCTAAACATAAAAAAAAATTATAATACAGAAGGCTTTCAGAAATACAACACTGAAGCACAAAAGAGGAGAAAGCTGGAAGTATTAATTACCTAAAATTCCCATTAGCACTGCAGGTTCTTTGGATGGAATTTGTTGTAGAAAAGGTAAAATATCATCAAGTACAAACCATTTATCCAAGTACTCCAAAATCTTGCCTAAGCACACTAGTGAGTTTACCCGAACCTGTGAAATATGATAAGAATTAAACAAACTCTTCACTATTTTTGCCGAAAAACAAACCCAAACTTTACAAACTTCATATGTAGAAGAAAGCAGGTTCTACTGAAACTACAACCTATATATCTGAAAATTCAAGACAAGTTAAACCACCCTTTTTGTGTCATGAAAGGAAAATACATATAGTTACACAGCTCAAAACTTTGGCTTTTCTGCAGGACAAGCACTGTTAACATGTATTACTGTGGAACACACCTCAATTTTTACAGTATTATTAACACAATAAGTTGTTGACAACTTTAACAATTGTTAGTGTAAAAAAGTAAATGATGCTTTTGTATTTGTAAAAAGTGAAAAAAGCAGCCCAAAATGAATCAGCTTGCTTAAAGGCACAACAGCAGAAAAGACAAAGTAATTACAGGTAACAACATTTTCTGAGGATTGGGAGATAAAATTATTAGAATACTTACAGCAAGAGAAGAAGTTTGCAAACATGCATTTTTAATTCTTGGAATTAATGAATTTTTCATTGATGGATAATCTATTAAATTGGCAAATGTGGGAATTATGTTTAGGCAAAGCTCCTATAAAAAAAAATTCCTCATAAGTTTAAAAGGAAACATGTATGTTTATTATAAAATTAATAAAATATTTTGACAGCAAGAATATCTTGCATTTTCACAAAACAACTTTATACTAAAAATACTTCTATTATATTAAACTAACATTTTCCTACATAAATCAAGCAAATCTGAATATTATCAACAACACTAAAAGGACACAATCAAAAGCATACCAAGTGTAAACATACTTAGGCAACAAGGGAAAAAAACTGCCCAAATTAATCACAATCTCAAAAACTAAGAGGCAGCAATATTAAGTGTATTTCGCAAGCAAATGCATGAGTAACCACACTACTGGTGCAGAAAAAAAACCTCACACCAAGTATTTAGAAACAAAAGCCTTTCTTGATAATATTGTAAAGGCTTTACAAAACTGAAAGTCAAATGTGATTATCCAAATCCCTATTTAAGAAATATTTTGTTTATCTCCCCCTCCTCCTCCTGAATGGGTAACTTTGGGTAACTGGAAGTTAATTCCAGAAGAATGGTTTAAAAAATTGAAGAACCTTAGAAAGGTAGAGAAGGCATACAGAGGAAAAATAAAATATGGATACATAAAAATGCCACCATAAGGTACATTAACATGATTTTACATCAAATGAGGTCTGCCAAAGTAACTGTCAGCACACACGTTCTTACCACTAGGACCTCAGAATAATCCACACCTCACTGACTAGTAAAAACAGGCATGCCTGCACAGTTTCTGCTGCACAGGCAATGTAGTTCAAATCCACATCCCAATTTTTGCTGTGGTGGTTAGTAAGAATTTAGGGTAACAACATTAGAACAACAATCAAGTGGTTACTTTCTGGAAAATAAGGAAAGTCAAGCTGGTTTTTTTTTTTAGTAAAACAAATTTTCTTTAATAAAACAATCTCTTTCAACATACAGGAATACTACAGAGGTTTTTGTTATTGTGTTGTTTTTTTTTTTCCCTCCACGTAAACAAACACAAAGGTATACAAAAAAGTTGGCACATCAGCTTAAAGAAAAGGGAAAAAAAATAGTTTTAAATAAAGTCTGCAATTAATATATACCTGGATCTGAATTGAAGGTGCTTCCAAGGCTCTATAGACCATTGGTAGAACACTGTTCTTTATTTCATCTGGTGGCGTTTTGGTGAGAAGCAAGTCCATTTTTTGCAGAAATATCAACAAGATCTATTAAAACAAGGACAATGCAGAAGTCAAAAGTTTTAACTTCAGAAACATATACTTAAATTTTAAAGTGTGTTCTATCATTTCATAAAACTTCAGAAATTTTCTTATAATTCAGTAAATGTGATGACTTACCATGTTGCTTGCCTGAAGGCATGGAAGACAAAAGATACTTTCACATATTATTCCATTTTAAAACCAACAAATACAAATCAAGCAAAATATGCATGTTCTAGACTAATCTTTCTTAAACAAGAAATCATAAGGGGTAAAGAAGTTCTTGTTTCTATTTATGACATCTTTTATTAAGATCAACCCACAGAAAATCTATACACACATCACTATTGAAAAAGCAAAAATGGCATAAAACTATGGTTCAAATGCTGTCCTCAAAGTATTTGATCACAACTCCACATATAAAAGCCTCATTCCATCCGTACCTAGAATCAAAATAGGGACACAATGAAAAGCATATTACAGCTACTGTACAGACACAAAATACCTTTAATCTATTTCGCATGGAAATTTTCTATCAGAAAATGAAAAATCAAACAAACAAAACAATCACATCACATTAACCTAAAAGGCAACTCATCTCAAGCCAGGTGAGACAAATTACTGCAGGTGACACTGACTATCCGTTAGTATCTAGACTCCTTTTAGAAAACAGATTAACTAGACAGATAAATTGTGGCAAATGGCATCACACTAATAATATAAAGCCAAGTATTTCACAGGAGGAAAAGATTTCAATTTTTAAGTCTAAAAATAGGTAGCAAACAGTGCTTGTGTTTTAAATAAACAGAAGCATCAGCACACAGCAAATACAAGTGTACCAAGATCATACTACAAGTTTCTCTCTTTCATTTGCTTTCCTTTATAAAGAGTAAAAATAAACTATTTTAAATTTATAATTAATGTGTGTTTTCTTACTGTATATTTATAATTATCTAAACTGTATGTATACACACACAAACTCACCCACTCATTCCGTGAACACGGATTCTGACGCAATATCCCCCCATTTGGGAAAATTAGCATCTTAAGACAGCGTTTGGAAGGAACACTGACACCTTCCCCACCCATCCCTCTCCGTAAATTACAAACACACAGAAGTGGACATTTTTACCTTGCACAGTAAGATCTCGAATTCTGTCCCCTGGCACTCTGAACTGTTTTATTTTTTTTCTGAATTCCTGGTATATTAACTTTGAACACCTGTCCCAAATTACTTAACTTTGCCATACTAAAAAACCCAAAGAAATAATAGTGGAACAAGCCACCTAGTACTTGGTGTGTATTAAAAATAATCAATTTAATAATTTAACAGATAGTAGTATCTAGAAAGCTACAGAAAAACTTCACAAAGCTCACTCCTCATGAGCTGACTTCAAGTCTGTAGTTTGCTCCCTCATTTCTCAAGAGATTAAACAGCTTTTGTGCCCATTATGTTCCAGATACAACTTGGAGACAAACTTTATGCAGTGAGGCTTGTTTCACAAATCTGATGTTTGAGGTAGGAAAACTCAACGTTACCTTTCAGGATGAAACAGCAGAAACAAGGTGTTCATGGGCTTTCGATTGGTTAGACTTTTGATTTTTTCAAGACAACAACAAAGCTAAAGTAAAGCTTCAGTGTACCAAAAGTAAAACAGTATTAAGTAGTTCTAATTTCTGTTCTCAACTGCACAATCATACTGTTCTTCCCTCACCAGTATGAGAGTTCTCTAATTTGGTTTTCTGAAATCCAGAAATAAAAGGTCTACTTGTTCATTCCTGTGTCTGTCTTGCCCCTTAAACACTCTGCAGAGAAATAATACAATACCATCCAGAAGTAAAACAAGCTAAGCTAAAAGGAATGTGTGGCTGTCTTATCTGTGGAGGCACAATGCCTAACTTAGTGGCACACCTCTCAGGAATCATCACGCACATGGTATCAACAAAAGGATGCAAATGTTTTGCTCCTTTACAGTAATGATAATGTCTTACTACATATATGCATGTAAACAAGAACAAAAAAAAGTGTATTTTACTTACACAACACATTTGTCACAAAATGAAACAAGTTTCATAAATTTGTGCGCAGCTGACAAATAAATACTATTTTATTACCATCAATAAACAGCACTTTTGAGAGTGTCTAAGTTACAACTTTTCTACCCCATGATCCCAGTGTCAGCAATTTGGATACAAGGAAAATCAATCAATCAATCAAACACAGTTTCAGCTGCTGGTAGAATACGTGCAAATATTATACTCTACAACCCTGCTCGGACTGGCTAGGTAAGTGATAAAATGCTTACAAATATACCTTCTGCAACCAACCAAAAATAAGAACCAAGTGGCAAATTAAATGTTTCCTTTTTTGACAATCTAATCTCATGTATAAATGTAAATATACCCTTAGAAAACCTGCCTAAAAAAGCAGTGGTAGAGGCTTTGTGAATGTCCTGTAAAAAATATCTACAAAACAAGACTGACTGCCTGGACAACTACAGAGCACCTTGGGCAATCTGTGTAAGGCTAGAAAAGGGAAATAGAACAATTAGTCATTTTTCAGGGGAAATAAAACCAACAAAACAAACAAACAAAAAACCAAAAACAAACAAACAAACAAACAAACAAACAAACAAACAAACAAAAAGGAACAATAATAACATACCTGGATGGGTTCTTGCTGCTTAAAAACAGGACCAAGATCAGGCAGAATGAGCCTGACATATTCTTCTTTGGTGCATTCCTCAGCAATGAGGAGAACATTAGGCAAGACAAAGGGTACCATATCAGGATTCACAAATTCAGAAGTCAAGCAAGGCAAAATTCGCTGAATTATAACACGCTAAAAGAAAAAAAAATTAAATCAAATACGCATCACATTGTACTGCACTGCAGTACATTACTATTGTGCCAGCTCAACAGCTTTTATTTTAACCTGGTATTTATAAAAAAGCTGACAAACAAGTCCCAATTCTGAACTCTTTTTTTCACAGGATAATCTAGTCAATTTACACTGTGCTACTTTGCTTACTTTTCTCTGTTTGCACTCAAAGCTGAAGTGGAGACTATAACAATGGTGAAAACTGAAAACACAATTAACTGTACAGAAACAGGACTTTCAGCCACATATATGAATTATAAAAGCCTTATTCTATATGCTTTCTTAAAAAAGACCCTGTCACCCCACTAAAATAATGAGTTCTTCAGTATCCCATCACTCACTGAACAAACACATAATCCTACTGCATCTACAACTCCACGTACACTCACTGAATAGGATTCTGCTGACAAAACAGGTATTAACTGTTGTCTGGATGTCTACTGAAGAGTTATAATATCCTTAGATGCTTTTAAAGTCAGTAGAGAGAAATACACCATTTAAGTGTACAGTCCCTTGCCTCGTAAAATATACTTTCAAAACAGAAAAAAAAAAAAAAAAAAAAATAGAAGAATGCCTTAAAATGATTAGCTCAGTCTGTGGCTGTCTAAGGTTAGGTGAAATACATCCTATCTTTTTCCAAGTTGAAAGCATCAGTGATTTCTGATCAAAGAAAAAAAATTACTAAATTAAAAAGAAGAAAGTATTAAATATGAAGTACGAATTTTGCACTCTGTAGTTCAAAACAGAACTAAAATTAAAGAAATTTAATGCAATGGTTGAGAAGCTCAGCTATTCTATTATGTAAAAGTATTTTTCTATCACTTATGCATTATGTTTTATAAAAATTAAAGAATTAGATCAAAAGAAAAAGGAGTCAATTAACATAATGTCTAACACTGCACAGAAGAAACCTGTACTGACAGACATTGCCTTTGAGGTTTCTGGGCACTGTTGGCCCAGGAAAGCACTTAAGTCTGTTGAGGGAAGGAAGCTTTGCATCATTCAACATTAAAGTACTGCCTTGCTATGAAAAAACTTGAAGCAATCCTTATGGGAGAAAAGGCAGAAAGATGATTTCAAAGAACTATGACAGCATCTGGAAACAACAGGAAAGCCTTTAAGTGAAGAGCAGACAACTCCCTTTCCAAGTGGGACAAAGTAGAGGAGGACATGCAAATGAGGGTTCCTTACACATACCAAGAGCACAATTTGCCATTTTCTGTTTAAGGAATTACAGATAGCTGAGAAGTATTTCCACACCACTTACTTTCTAATCTCCCCTTCTGCCTTACTACTATGTTCTGATAATCTCACTGCAGTCTGTTACGGTATGATGCTACATGAAGTCCAACATTCCAAGATTCAGAATGTTAACAGATGTTCACATATTTTTAAACTTCTTATTTCAAGACATCATACAGACATACCTTAGGTAATTTTGGCAGAACCTTTGGCAGCCCTTTAAAAAACTGTGATTTCTGAAGGTTATCTCTTTGAAATAATGAGTCAAAATACTGAAGTGTCATTGCTCCTACATCATCAAAGAATGGTATCTAAAAATAAGATTAAAAGCTTGTGATCTGGAACAAGTCAACACTGACACTGTTATAAAGATTCCAAAATATAAGCATCTCTTTACCCTTAAAATACACTACAGGAAACCTTTACAATTACATGCCTGCCACTAACAATTACAAAAGTATATTTTAACATACTAAATAGTAGAATATTCACAGATAAAAGTTGATTATTAAGATGGACTTTTCCTAGCATTGTAAAGAAACTTGTGTGTGTTATGTCTAAGTTAACTTATTATATATGAAATAACATTGTATCTACAAAAAATTGAGTGAAAAGTTAAAACCTTGATTAAAAGTTCTCACAGGAAACATTTAGTTATTTAATATTACAACAATGGATTACTTATTAGGCCATGCAGATCTGGCTATCACCCCTCGAAACTTATAACAAATCAACAAGCATTTATATATACATATATATAATTACACATTTATTGCATATTTTTCTCTCCAGTGTTCAGATCCATTTGTCCACCATATAATCTCCCACATTTGCATTATTTCAGCCAATAGGGCACAGATCATCTTAAGTACTGTGTAACAATGTACACACACAGACCAAGCTTGTAACAAAAATACAATGGGGTTTAACTTATAGCCATGGTATATCATACTAATACTGATAGAGCTGCTTCATGAAAGACTGATAAAAATACATGATGGTAACAAGATTGTTTATATAAAAATCCATGCCCAAATATTTTTCCAGTTAGCAGATGAATGAAAAGAGAAGAGTGTCTATTCCAGACCTACACAGATTGGAATGTAAAGTTCTGCATTCAAAAACCTGTATGGCTAAGACTCCTTCCTGATAGCTCTCATTTCTAGGGAGGTATATATCAAAGCTTACAGGCTTGCAACAGTTAAAGACAAAGCATGGTCTCCCAGACTATACAAACACTTGTTTTCAGTAAAAGAAGTTGAGGGGAAAAAAAAAGAAAAGATATAAAAACATTTAAAGAGTTCTTATTGTAAGGCAGAAGGAGAAGCAAATAATAAGGCCATAAAGGAAAATAAAAGAATCAGAAAAGCAGACTGGAGTGGAGCAATACAGAAGAGAAGAATCTACCATCAGACAATTCAAGGTTGTCTGCGCTGTGGACTTAAATCTGTTTTCTAGATCACACCCCAAGATTTATGTAATCGTGAAATTCTATACTGGTTAACAAACTAGTTAAAACTAGCAAGGTAGACTTGTCCATGTCAAGCTCCATTTTACCTCATGTCATGCTAGCCATAAACTGCTTTTAGAACTAAAGCTCTCATATCTCTGCCCTACAAACCAGTCTGCAGTGCAGATGTGGTAAAAAAAGTTCAACATCTTTATAAAACCATATTGCTTAATGCAACCAATTATAGTTTTGACTGCAACAGTCTTCAGACAAGTGAGTTGAGTAATATTTGCCAATTTCCTCACTATCTTCCATCATATATGTCGGCAGAAGCATTACGCGTTCCCCCTCCCTTCTCCACTCACTATTTCTTCCAATTGTTAAGACACTGATTTATCTCTCTGCATACAATCTTTTTATATGACAGGAAAAGAAGAAAATTGTTTACCTAAGCAAATCTATAAGCAGGAACCTGAAAAGCTATCAAATATGAGAAAATAGGGTATAGGATAAAGGAGGAATCATGCCTTTAGGATCTAAGCGGAGGAAGAGTTTGTCAAATTAAAGCTTAAGATTATCCTACTTGCAATTAATATTTGCTTTATTATGGCACATAAGCTCTCAATATACTTTAAGCTATTCTTCTGCGTATTTAAAATACACAAAAAATAACAGACTTTACATTTATTGCCCTTTATCATTTTATGGCTTTTAAATCCTTCCAATACACCTTTGAAGACTGAATTGTATAAAAACATAGCACAGAAAACACAACTGTACTGGAAAGCAACAAAACCGTGTTGCATTGAATGATTATTCTAAATTCTGTCTCAGCACCGACTTCTTCCATATTAAAAAAGGTCAGTTTTTTGCATCAATTAACACCATTATTTCAAAAATAGTTCAAAAATACTCAACATTTCAACTAAAATGATTAACAGGAAAACACTTCAAAATATCTCTATTGTTTCTACACATCAAACACTATTTTCCCTCTTTCCTACAGCTACTATATTTTCCATGAACTGACCTTAGTCATTTGATCTGCGTCTGGTCTGACTGCTGGAGCTACATTTAAGAGTAGCTTTACATGTTCACGCACCTCCTCTGGGATATTCTGAAGAGCACTGGAGCTTAAACGGCTCAGCTGCGTAAGTAATTTAAGCACATGCACCATGAAGTCAGAAAATCCTGTGTATAACTATTTCAAATAAACACCAGGACTATACTTTGTCTTCTTGATGGTTCCTCTACCCACACATTTGATTTCCCTCCCTTCTCCCCTTTTATAGCCCATTTGCTTCTCATCCCTCATAATCTTTCTGTCTCCCCAACAGCCTACCTGCTTCAGGTCACATCCCCTATTTCCAGCTTCTCTTCTTGTTCAGGTTACCAGAGAGCACAAGCCCGGTATTTTTAAACAGGTACACGTTATTATCTGAGGTGCTGTCTATACACATTAAAACACAGCACACACAACTAAGGCAATGGACACCCAAAGAAGTTACAACAAAGAAAACTTGCACATGAATGTTCATTATGTAGCTGATGCAAGTATCTATCTTCTGTTCATGTATATAGTTCACAAAGAATGTGAAATAGCTGATAGCTACGTGGATACCAATTGCAACATCAAGTGATCAAATCACTCTAAACTCAGCCATCTTCAATGGTCCTACATAGGTCATTCACTGCCTTATGTTTCACACTGCTAATCCCAACAGGTAAAGTATTTATTTCACAACACCAGTATTCAACAGATTTATAGACTAAATGGATGAAAAACAAAATTTGCAGTTTATAAAGTTGGTACATAAAAATATGCGTAGAGAAAGTTACATTTGTCATATTTTGTTAGGATTCTTTTTTCTTGTTATAAAGATAGCATGCAAGGTAAGATACCATTATCAGACTGGTTATGGTGGAGTACTGGTATTGTGTCCTAAATGTTTAAACCAATAACTTTTCAAAGATGAAAAACAATGAATAGTAATAATTCATTACAGAACATCATAAATGGAACAAATACCTGATCCAGCTGTCTACTAAAGCTTTTATAAATATCCTGCTTGTTGACCTCAAAAACTGGTTTCCCTTTATTAAACACTGCATACATGACAGCTCCTAGAGAGTACATATCACTGGCTGTCTCACAGCTCACAGAGAGAATATATTCTGGTGCCAGATATTCGGGATTTGGAAGACACAAGGATGGCAAGTTTGGATCCCATTCCTTACAAGGGAACTTTGGCTACAAGAGAATTAAAAGAAAGTACATTTATTAGGGATTTTTAAAGAATGTTTTAAATAAGAATCTCAAACAGCAAAAAATAATGAATCCACTGAAATTCAATTATGAAGGAAAAAGAAACAGAGTAAGGCAAAACTGCTAAGAATCTGTGTAGCTTAGAGTGATTAGCTGATGCAACTAAGTCTGGTTATTAAATCTGAATATTCTCATATTCTCTGAATATGAGAAGTGTAATGTAAACTCAAGGAAGTGCTCTAGCAGGACAATGTGAGCTACGACGGAAATTCATTTTAGGAGGCAGCAACCGGGCACTGAGTGGATACAACAGACTTCAGCAGCTTTGCATGCCATCCAACACGCAGGTGAGCAGAAGTGGCACAGGCTTCAGCCTCTGTCTGAAACCATCACTAATCTACTCTGACTCCATGGAGCTAACTCAGGCTCTTTTTCTGTGATGACCAAATACAGCACCTCAGTCCAGACCTGCCCCATATGTTCAAACTTCCTGCCAACAAAATAGAGAGGTGAATATGAAATAAGTGATTCTGTGCTGAAATGCGAGGTCATGAAACTGGTTTCAGACAAAGACCTGAATTTGAAATTTAATTATGATAAACATAAAGATCTATTACCTCCTGTTCAGATGGATTTGTTGACTGGATACAAAAATCAAAGCCCATAATTTTCCATGCTCCACTTTTATTCAAAATTATATTTTCAGGAGTAATATTTCCATGGACCATTTTGACACTGCTATGCAAAAATGACAAGCCTTCAGAAACCTGTTAAAAAAAGATTATTACTTCGGGTTAATATTTCTTCAAATACCCTGTAAGACATTTACAAAAATACTTTTCCTGTGCTCGCAGTTAAATTAATAATATAACTAAGAAACAAATTTTTCAACACTATTTCAGGCAGTGTCCTTAAAATTATGCATGAAGGAAATTACACACAGACGGCTAATGAGCAGATGAGACTACTAATGCCAATGAAGTACCACAGCATAAGAATAAAAAAAGCTTTTCAAAGTTGACCACAATATTTACTAAATAAAAGCTGGGAGATACTGTTCCTCCACAGAATTTAAAGAAAAGATTCATATATGAGAGAGACAACTATAGCATAGACATTTAAAAATAAAATTTCATTCAATTTCATATTTTCCATGTCAGAATAAGCAAAAACAGTAGCAAATTAGAGCCTCCAGCATTCATCTTCTCTTATAGCGATCAGGTCACTATATCTCTCACTTCTCAATTATCTGGTTTACTACAAGCAGACAAAACTTTGGCAGTGTACAAAACTTAATAAACAATCTAAAATACTAAAAGCAAAAGAAAATTAAAGACAGCCTGTGTCATACCTGAAGTAAACCATATCTGGTCTCCACATCATAAAGTTTATATTCTTTAATGTCAGATGGTAAAGGAGAAGGTAGGTTGTCCCAGCTACCAAGAACATTAGCTAAACTTGCACAGACTGGTTCTGTACAAAATGCCAAGCAATCCCTATAAAGAAAATACAGAAAAACATTTACTGTAAATAAATGTAATAAATCTCTTGACTGAAAATAAAGAACTTTACAAACATCATATTATACTTTACTAGAGAACCTGGTGCTACCTAAAACCATATTATATTTCACGTTTGAATTCTTATAAGTAATATTATGCTAAAAAGAAATATATAAATACCTGAAGCATTCAAAAATATATTTGAATTAAGTTATTTTTTTCTCTAATATTCACATACATCACTAATGATGAACACAATGCTTCATGAAAAGTTTTAACAAAACAATGCTTTTCTTGTCCAGACCCAAGAAAATCAAACAAATAATTCTAACTATTATCAGAATGAGTAAAATCACGCTCTTAGCTGTGCCTAAAACTGACACATCCCTGACTGAAGCAACACTTAATGTGGTTGGACAGTGACCAGAAACAAAATTAATAAAATATATAGCAGCACCTCAATATTCTTTAACTTTGTAAATGAATAAAAAGAAGCTCAAACACAAATACGCTTGCTGTATGAACTGTAGTTTGCAGTGAAGTAACTTTAATTATTTTATCTATTGTTTTCCCCATGAAGAACTACAGGTCTTGTTTATGCATTTTTCTGTTAACACAGTTTGAAAAGCACATATGAAGCAAACTTCCACACATAAAATGGCCTGGTTGTAATGCTGCCTCAAAACTCCAGATTTTGAAGTCCTGAGAACAATGTATGTTTCAGTTTCACAAATTTCATATAACATAGACAGAGTCGTTCTTTATATCCACATTCTTCATACTAGTCTGCATAGAATAGGACGCCATATATAGTCATTACACCTCACTTCTTAATAATTTTGAAGTTTTTCTGGAGAAAGCATTACATGAATGGTAGCACACATACCTGGTCTAAGGGTAAGTAATTCAGGAGAACACTACGTACTGATGTAGTATGAACATAGAAAACTGAGTAACAGTAATAAATAAATATTTTAGAATATAAAGTTATAGGCAAGAAGACAGAAGCCTAACCATTTGCTCATTCCATAAAAGTATTACATAAGACACAATGCCATAGCAGCAATTTACAGTAGTTTTAATGTACCTTGATAATTAACAAGCTTCCTCTTCAAAGTAAGTCTGATGAAACATGAAAATCTTTTATTACTTGCCCAGATTTTAGGTTTATTTTAATCTATTGCCCTTCTGAAGGGAAAACAACTGAAAGTTAATACATTGAGTCGTGTCACCCAACATGACAGAATTTCTTTGCTTGGTTTCTTCTCTACCATTCTGTTAAGCCATCACTTTCACGTTTATATTAACACAACCAGGGCTATAAAAGTCGTTCCTGTAGTAATCACAAGGAAGAACCAGAGCACAGAAAGACAAAAGTCCTTAATTTTCTATCTGACTTCAACTTTACCAGAGAGCTTATACATTTAGTAACAGTTAAGGCGCAGATGATAGAAAATACTTAGGAAACAGTTACTGAGTGGTTTTCATAACACAAATTCAAAATTGCTGTTCATTTGAGGTGAATAAAAAGATGTCTGTTTATGTTTTACTTTAGGAGCTAATTAAATAAGGACCCAAACCAGAGTACCAGAAGGATCTAATCAGGGAAATCGAATATTGCTGAGAGAAGCTGATGTCTGCCATGCAGTGCAGTTTCTTTAGCAGTTCCCTAAATAACATGAAAATGAATTCAGAGAAACATTATAAAAAGAATACAAGTTGAAAATAAAATTGATGGCAAAAAATGGGAAAAACTGCAACAGATGGAATGTCTAGTAAATTAAATATCTAGAACTCTTCAAGTTCCTCTATTTTTAATGAGTAGCAATGACATTGTGAGTGAAGTTATAATTTGTCTTTTTTAACCTTTTCTCCAATAACAAGTTAAATACAGAATACTATTGCTCATCTGTGGTGTTACTGGGATTCACAGCCAGTTGTAAGTAAGTGTATTTATATTTAATATTTAGTATATATAAAGAGTTATTCAGTATATAAATGCATGTTAAAACATATAGATCATAATACATATTTATATTAAATATAAGTATACTGAATAACAATAAAAAGAGTATAAAAATTCAATTAATAGTGAAAAAGCTGACTACACACCAGGGTCACAAAGGTATGCCCTTTCTTTCTACACCTACTTGAAATGCTGGGGTTTGAACCCCAAGCCCTGAATTAAGGTTGACATATGGGTGATTTCCACAGCCCTTCATACAGAGGAGGTGAGTTGGCCTTATAGCTTCCCCCCAGGGTGCGGCCGGCCCTGCAGGGGGAGCCAGAAGGGAAATGAGCCCCAGGGGTCCCGCATTGAGTTGACAAAGGCAAGGGGTCTTGGGGATAAAAGCTGAGACCACTTGCAGGAAGGGAGGATTGTCTGCCTGTGGAGTGCACTTCACAGAGCTTCCTGGTTCAGGAAAGACCTCCTGACTCTCCCTGGAGCCGGGCCCCGGTCAGTTTAGACCTTTGTAAACGCGGGCTGATCGGGTGATAGTTGCCACGTGGGCACCTTTGTCTTATTTGTTTAGCTTTCTGGTCTGGCTGTTTCCCTTGCCAACCCTAGGAAACCTTGGCTCTCTGTTCTTACCACCTGTTGTAGGCTGAGTTGTGTCTTTTCTGGGATTGATGGGGGTGGTGTCAATTATATATAAGCTGGTTGACTTGTTTTACACCCGGTGGTCATTCATGTTACAATGCTTTTGCTTACAATACATTCTACTTATTGGTTTCTCTTCCTGCTGGTTATGTCATTTGTGTTAGGCCTAGTCATTGGCAGAACGCTACTTCAGCTGTGCAAGTACTTTGCCCCACAAAGGAGGACTAAAGGGTGACTTGCAAGCAACACAACTTTATGTTACTTTGGAGACACAAAAAAACGACCAGGTACCGTGTAGCCAGAAGGAGCCCATGACAGATTCCTTCAAGAATAGGCATTCTGGAAAGACCTGTAGTTCTAAAGCAAACTTACAGCATACTTGCTGTGTCAGGTCTGGCTGAGCTGATTTTCCCACAGCAGCCCTCCTGGTGCAGTCCTGGGAGTTAGAAGGGTGTTGATAACACCCATGTTGTGACTACTCCTGAGCAGTGCTTACACTGCACCAAGGCTCTTTCTAACACTCTCCCCACAATGGGATGGGGGGATAGGAGCTTGGGAGGGGACATAACCAGAACAGCTGACCCGAACTGACCAAAGGATTCTTCCATACCATATGAGGTCAGCTCAACTCTAAAGGTGGTACAAAGGGGGGGGGGGAGGGGAGGGGTACTACTCAGTCCTCACGGGGGGGAGGGGGCTACTCCTCAGTCCTCCAGAGCAACTGCTATACATTTTGGAGCCCTGCTTCCCAGGAATAGGCCAGACATCACCTGCTGATGGGAAGTAGAGAATAAGTCTGGTTTTTTTCTCTTTGCTTCTGCACATGGCATTGCTTAGCTTTTGCTCTCTAATTAAACTGTCCTTGTTTTTACCTACAAGACTTCTGTCTCTATCTTATTTTCCTTTCCCCTTTTGCTCTGTGGAGGAAGGAGAGGAAAAGAGGAGGGTGACAGAATGGCTTGGTGGGCATCACTTGCTCAGCCAGGGTTAACCCACCACACCTGCACAAGGCTATACAAATATTCTCACCAAACATCTATGAACCTCTTCCAACAGCCATTAGATCAGCTTCTGACACTGCAAGGAACTGGACAGCTTCTGTGCTACTGCCATTTGTACTAGTAGCTGAGCATACTGAGTATGGAAACAAGAACAATTGCAGCAAAGCATTGGGCATTACTAAAAACTCACGAACAAGAATTGTGACACAATGACACTTCAGTTTACTCAAAATGCTTAAATTCTTCACAAGAACACCACCAAAGCTTTCTTAAACTCCAAAGTATGAACCTCAGTGCAGAGTTCAGGGAAAAATTAATTGCAGACAAAGTGAAGTTAATCGAAATGCCGAGGCAATTTTAGGAAGAAGCCTGGGGTATACTCTGGGATTCACTTGCATACACTATGACTGAGATGACTTTAGGCCATTTAGCATGTAATAGTTTATTTACTGTTTCAGCTGTCTTCAACTACTAAATCTTCCTTAGGCTTCTGTGAGGGGCATACTGAACCATAGGAGCAATGACAGCTTTTAACCCTTGTCAATGTGAAATGTGATTAGTACTGGTGGAAAGATATAGATATGAACATGCCAGTGTCATTTATACAAGAATTCTTTCCCAAATAGTCACTGCAAAGATAAAGAAGCCTTCCTGCAATATTCTTAGCTCCAAGAAGCCAGTGCACTTGGAAAGATACAGGTTAACAGACACAATCAAAACTGTATAAGTTTGAAAGGTAACATACATGAATCTCTTAGGCTACCACTTAGAAGTTTCTTTCCAAAGTAGTTTTTCTAAAACCTTCATGATCTTCTTTAGTGGAATCAGGATCAGCTTTCTATTGTAACATGAAACCTTAATTTTATTTGTTTGATTTTTAGTGTGCTGTTATCACTGGAGTTGAATCATAAATCTGTAAGTCTAACCCATTATTGTGCCTACTGATCAGCCTTCAATAAATCAAATAAGCACTACAAAACTACATTGAATTTCATTTCCCTCATCTGACATTTGAGGACCTTTTAAACACATATGTTGCCACAACACATGCAATTTACCAAAAAATCAACAAACTCACATCCACTAAGTAAATAAAATGGAATTCATAAATGGAATTAATGTATGAACAACCTTTTGAAACAATTAATTTCAGTTTTAAAGAACTCTTAAATTGAACTACCAAATTTTCATGCTGTAAGAGTCATGTGAAGCCTTAGAGTTGCAAGTGGACTAAGATCATGCAAGAGATTATTAATCAGATTCACCAGATACCCACCAAAAATACATCCTATAGCTTGGGGCAAAAGAAAATCTAAGGGTGTGGTGAACACTATTCTTACATGAGTAAATACAGTAAACTTGAACCTCACCAGATGTGTGCATTGAACGTTTCAGGTATTTTATGTCCAATAACAAAAGAATGACTAAGAAAGTCTGTTCTCAACTGTACTACAGCTTACCTGGATTCTTCCAATGGATGTTGAACAGTAAGTAGTCGAGGGTGTCGAAGTCTGGTTAGCTGTTGAACACCTCGTTTTAAAGAATCAGTAATCTGATCCTTCTCAAATTTCTGATACTTGTCTATTAGCTTCTTATCAAAGACAAAAACAGCTACTTCCTAGAAAAAAGCAGTAAATTTTACTCAGTATATAACAGCCAAAACCCTACGCACAACTACATACACACATTTTTTGAATCAACAGTACAGTCCCACCAATCCACATTGTCCTTACTTTATCCTGATCATAATCACACAGGTCAACATCCACACATCCTATGTGATCACAGGACAGAAAACAGCTTGATTCTAATTAGGTGAAAGGACTTACATCAACAGTGAATAATTAAAATATTCTGGACATATATTCATTCACTTGGCATTAAATATATAAAGTGGTGCTTTAATAAACCAAAGCGTCTCAGTGTTCTGCTCCAAATCATACCATCTATATTAAAGTGCATTTTCATGAAAGATAATTTGTAGTGAGTGTAATCAGTTAACCTGATTGGACTATTTACATGACGAAACATTAGGAATTTTTTAGAACATATGTAAAAAGTCCTAGAAATGCAGTATATGTTAAAACCGAAAACAGTTCTTCCAACCAGCCTCTGCAAATGGAGTGGGAGAAAATTATAAAATTTATATGAAACTTTGAAATTACAGATGTGGATGTGAAATAAAAAATTAGATCATGTCACCATCTTGGAAGCCACTAAAGAGAAACAAATTAATTGAAGAAAAAAGGAATCAAAAACTTTATCATGAAACAGACCGTCTTATACACCTATAACAACATTATGAATAATAATAATAAAGGTTAGAAACCAGCAGCAAATGATAAACAAATATAGCTTTCAGTCCCAAGAGGAAGTCTATGCTCTTGTACTGTATATTTTATAACCATTATTCTAATTAATATCTCACAGGAACACTTACACTATTGATTAAAAAACAAAAACAAAACAACAATAACAAAAAAAACCCAACCACATAGACTTCTAGAGAGAGACTACATAAGAAAGTTAAATTCAGCCCAATACACAAAAAATTGCTTTACACTTTTTAGCAGGTACCTATTTCATCAAGCCATTAGCAGGTGAACATCTATAACTACCTCTACTAAGTATACTTTTCTTGCTTCTATCCATACCAGCTCTGTGCTCCAATTCTTAAATGTGATGGATCGAACACTGATAGTAATACAAGATGGGGAGACCCAGTGATAGGATGGAAGACATACACTACACCCATTGTTTAAAGAACACACATTTTTCTAGTATGAAGTGTGAATGTATTGAGCAGTACAAAATCAATAACAAAATTTCAAACTAATACAGCACTTCTGAAAGCACTTCTGTTTAATGATGAGTCAAGAGAGTCGGAAAGTGAATATTTAAATTAGATAGTATGGGACATCAGCTAGGTTTGAATATTTTATGATGACTAAAAATAAGTTCTAATGGTGCTTGGTACAACCCTGCATGGTTTGTTTGAAGTTTGACAGAACTTCTACATATACAAAATTAGTTCACATATATGAAACCGTAGTATGGACTTAAAGTATTAAATGTATGAAAATTATTGCTATCATACCAATTTTATAGACTTAGTTATTGCGGAATGTCAAGATCAAAATAACTTGAGCTGCGCAACAGCTTGCTTTCAAAACCTTCATTTTCATGGAATGCATCTGATACAAGAAGAAGGCATATAGCTATCTCTGCTCATGAACACTAAAATGTTAAATGTGTTCTGATGTTAATTCAAAATATGGCATTCTGAATTAGATTCCATAATCAACATTGATTTTATATGCAGAATGCCACGTCAACAATATAATATCTTAAGCCACATAAGCTACCAGATATTATTGTACAGAAGAATGAAGAGGTAGCTGAGTCATGGGCCACAGAACAAACTCTTAATTCACAAAAATTACTGGAACCATATAGCTTGGAAATGTCTAAAACTGTTAATCGCTTTATTCTGTGTGAACCAAATAACCATGCTGAATTTTGAGTACAAACACATTATTTCTTTTTCATTTTCTGTTTTACAAGAGCTGACATTCAAGCCCCAAAAGGAGGGCTACTGAGTGCAGGTGATAGGAATTCCATTTCCTGTAATTGCGTTCATAGAAACTTAGTGAGATGAGAGCATGCAAAGGGTTACATATTCAATACTTCTTTCCACAGAAAGCGCTCAGCGATCTTCTACTTCCTATTTTATTTTTAATTTCATAGGTTTGAAAGAAGAGTAGCTTCCTCCTGCAGATGACTACTTGTTATTTTATTCTGCAGTTGTGTCTTAATTCCTGCTTTGTGATATAAAAATAAATTTAACATAAAAAGACTATATTAAAAAAGTGACTGCTCTCCACTAAGAAGGTGAAATAGTAGAGGCAAAATAACCTTTATTTTTAAAAAGCACATTTTTATTCATTATGTGATAGGAAGTATATGCACGTTGCTCAGCATGCTCTTGTCTCAACAGTGTACTGGTAATGTTGCTATCTCTATCAGGAAGTATGGACAAGTATGTAGGGGACTAGACAGGCCACTTGAGACATCCAAGTTCAAATCTCCATTCTGTTTATAAACATGGGATAGCCTGCACCTTCTGTTTCACCTCCCACAAGTTTAAGCCAAGTGCTTTACTTCAAAGTGGTGTTAGGTAAAGCTCAGTGATGACACTCAGACAGCTGTATGTTATGAAGTGTACTGGTTAAGTATTTGCCAGGATGACTGCCTTCAAAAAACTTCTGTTGTTATTGCCAAGAACTTAGGCTTTTTAACAAGAACCAGTGAAAAGACCACTGTTTGAGTTCTATAAGGCCTTTGCCGAGAAATTAAATCTCATCTGTGCAAGCACTGCTCACAACTTCCAAGACACAGGACATGATCTAACCAGACTGTAATCATATTAACTTATCTATAACACTTCTAGACACTGAACAGAAAAATTTAAATCAGGTCTCTTTAATTGTGCTTGTGTGTTTCAGGGTAATCCTGTTGTCCATTGACATGAAGCCCTGCTTATTCACTAAAGGCTTTTTATCCTTACTGTTTTAATCATCAAATGCCACTATTTCCTTTTCCCAGCTTCTTTGGGCAGTTTTCCTTTGTACTGGGTCTGGCTGAGATGGACTTAACTTTCTTCAAAGCATTACATACAGTGTGGTGGTGCTTTAGACTTGTGGCTAAAAGAACATTACTAACACACGAATGCTTTGGCTATTGCTAAACAGTCCTTGCACGGGGTCATGACTTTCTCTTTTTCCACTGTCCCCACAGTGAGTAGGCCATTGGTAGGCCAGAGACTGGGATTAGACACAGCTGGGACATCCAGCCTGACCTGGCCAAAGGGCTGTTCCGTATCATACAACATCATGCTCAGTGATAAAAAATAGGGTAGAGGAAGAAGCAGCAAGGGGGTTTGGTTTCCTACATACGTGTTGTTCGGACAATAGCTTGAAGTACAGGTCTGCCTGTAGGATGTGGTGGGACATTTTCTTTGCTTTGCTTCTTCCTGCCCCCTTCCCCTCACCTCCTTCTCCTATTAAACTGTTTGGACCTTGCCCTCTGAGTTTTTGTTCTCTATTTTACCCATATGCACTTACATATTTTTAATGAATAATCAAATGTAACTGAATTGGCAAACACATGATGTTTTACCAAAGCCTCCCACTGTACAAAGCAAAATAGTCTCCAAACTAAATTACTGGAAAGCATTCTAGTATTACTCTGGTCTTTTGCCAGAAAGAGATTTTCCTCCAGCTTTTGAGGGGTTTATTTTTAGAAGCTTGCCAATGTTTTTTATAACATTGTCTTTCCCATCAGTCTGTTTCACTTACAAGGTATACAATACAACTATTTCAGTTTTAAAATGGATTAGCCTTTAGAGTTTGAATAATAGGAAGCTTTCATTTCAAAGCAACTGTTTGCACAGCCTAAACAACAGAAAACTGACTTACCTACGACCAATATATTAATATTACCACAATAAAAGTTAAACATAGCTACAATACTCTTTAAGTGCAAACCATTGTCTCCTTAATTCTGCTGGTTTTACAACCAAGCTGCCAACAAGAACATCAAGTCACCTTATCCTACCTATTTCTTTATGATCACACTTTCTAAGCAAAAGAAAGGACAAGTGCAATATTATGCCAGAATAAAAAAAATTAAGTTCATAAAGATTTAACAAATCCAAAATGAGCATAAATACGTACTGTAAAATTAGCCATGTGTTACTTCATGTATACACATAAATGAAGATTCAAATCTTTCAAATAGTAACAAATCAGCTATCAAATAGCACCAGAAAAACACATGCACACAGGTAATTAATTTCCTCCCATTCTGTCAGATTGCTATTCAGTCACCCACAATGCAAGCAAGAAAAAAATCAAACCAAACAAAAAAACAAGCAAACCCCCAAAAAGTGTAAACATGCAGAAACCCAGGAAAACTTGCAAGGCAGGAACCAGGCAGAACTCTGAAAAGAGAAGTAAAATCATACATATCTACTGCCACCAGCAGATGGAATATTTGTAACTGTCCACTGACTTAAAACGGGAACCAAATTAATCCATACTTGAAATCTTTACTTCAGCTGACCAACTTCTGTAAGACTGCTGCCTTCCATTTGCCATGAGAACAAAGATTTCTCATCAGCTCTACTCCTGTAATGCTGAAGCTCCAGAGGTAGCTATTTTATCTGTCTACAATAACTTAAATTATTACTTATGTTTGTTGTAAAGTGACAACACAGGAAATTAAGCCTTTACATCCTGCATGTCTGATTACAATACCCATTTACTCTAAAAAAGCTACGTGATTGTAGCTTCAAATTAGATATACACACTTGAAATATAGCATATGTGTGCATCACTTCACAAAAGTGACTGCTACCACTTGGAAAATGACAGCCAGCCACTTCCATATTACCCAGACAATGTTAAAAATATATATGCAAAAGAAAGCTTATTCGTTGTCTTAGCAACTTCATGTCACCTGAACATTAAATTTAACTGAAGGCTGTATTTTATTAACAATTCTGTTTACTCACTGTAAATTCAATTTTTTCTCCAAGTTTGAAGAAAGTAGGACACCACCATTTTCTATCATAACAGATCTTAAACTCTGTTTCTGGCAAAACTTCAAAGTCATAATCCCACCTTCATCTACATACGTGAGTCAGAGTTTACACACTAGTGTTCTAAACCCTAATACTTTAAGGAAACCAAAAGGGTATAATATTGGTGTGAAAACAACACAGGGAAGGCACAACTCACTGCCTCCACAATCTCCTCCTTCATCCTGTGTCTTCCTGTTACTGCGTCCCATGACTTAATATTTCTGACACCTCAATTTCTGTATGGCACCTGAGCCAAAAACTAGAGTCTCTTTTGCTGAGACTAAATGAATGCACATTTCATGGTTATTTAAAACTATAAAAAGCCAGTATTGCTGCCAGAAAAAGCTGCAAGGTAAAACAAACTAGGGAACTGATCCATGTTAAAACAAACCTCATCCTTCTCGTCAGATCACATTTAACTCTGATTAATTCTTGAGGTTGATCTCGAGTTGTATGCTATCTGTGCATGCAGAACCACTTCCTTCTCCAGCAGTGAAGGCTTAAAGCAACCTATGTGGCCAAGAACATTATATTTAAATAATGTGGAGTTCTGAATTTCATTTTACTTATAGTACTACCCTTACCATTAGTCTGCCCAGTTGGATTTTGTTTTTAAATGCCACTTACCAACAGCCACCTATTAGTGTGTTATCTAATGCTTTATAAACTTAGGTCATTACTTGACAACGCACCTGTTTTGTTGATTTTTTAGTTCCATTAAATATCTTCCAAGCAAGACCATTACCACCACTGGCAATATGTCGGCCAACATCAAATTCCCTGGTAACAGGATTTCCCATGACTGCACTGGTGACATCAGCCGTTACCTTTGTAACAGTACTCTTCAATTTATTTAGCATGGACTCCATTGTCTCAACTGTGCATCAATGCAGTATCCTATAAAGACAAGGAAAAAAAGCCTCATAGACCTCTCACAACTTCCATTAACATAAGACAGATGTTGAAAACTGTAACATCTAACCAAGGATGGAACACCATACAGGAGTAACCCACAAAAAGAACACTGAAACATAACTTCTAGGGCTTTGCAGTTATATGTTCACACTGCATACACGTATCTGTGTGTGAGTGCCTGGGGATTATATGCCATTGCTTCTACTCCTCCTCAAAAGCTTCTGAATCTCTTGATCATTCTTCATTAAATGTAACAAAGCAATTAAGGACTGAGAAATTCAACCATTTCTTGAAAATAGGTAATTGAATAAGGTAGAAAACTTATAAACTACTCATGTGAAGTGAAAGGTTCACACCTTGTATATCAACAACAATCAACAAAGAGAACAAAAACTGAAGGAAACTAGGCTCTAACTCCAGTGCTTATGTAACAACACATTGTCTGAAGGGAAGGAGTGCTTAAGATCCCAGAAAAGCAGAAGAATAGATGTATTACACAGAAGTAAAAAATATGTTCTTTCCCACACTGTGCTTGTCAAAAAACAATCTCAAAATTCACTGTTTTACCTATCAGATAGCTGATAATTACTACATGTATGATCTAATTATTAATGAGGTTAAGTATTAATCAGTTGCTGCAGGGGATGAAAACCCCTTTTTCTGCTTTTTATTAACAAAATGTACACATAAGGTTTTTTTCCATCACCTTGCAGATTTAAGAGGTAAAACACTGAGGCAGCTTACAGTTTAGTTCATATTCCCCGGTTCTGTGTACTTCAACTGCTTCTGAAGCTGTCATGATTAGTTAAATATCCAACTTGCTTATTCTGCCAGACAGATGTTCTCAAGCCTATGCCCCATTTATACAACTGTCTCCCTGATAATGGGCATACAAGAAAGAAGGAATACAGGAAACAAAGAGTGAAAAAAAGAGACAGACTTTCATCTTCATTATCAGTGAGAACAAAGATGAAGACAGAATGCAAATTATTTTCTGGAATCAGTATGATGTGGTATATTCAAAAGCAATATTTAGCGATATTTCTTCTTTCTTTCAAATAAGGTGTGGACAGCACTATTTCTTCAACCTATCGATAAATAAACCCAAGATAGCACATCAGCAAATACACTGAAATCCATAGAAACAGTATTTCCAATTATGGCTTTGTCATATACATAACTCAGTGGCATATAAGCTGTGTAAAACAACTTCTTTGAAAAATAGAGAACGTCATTCCTATTTGAATGGAAGAGGCAAGATTCTGTTGTCATAGAGAAGATGTTTGCCAAGTTACAGTAACAAGAACAAAAGAAGCAAAGGGCACCAACAAATAATCCAGTGAGCACTGGGACTCATCATCCCCACTGTCTTGGTATTCAGATGTGAGGTGACTGCCCGTACGAATTAAAGCTCTTCCCACTGTATTATATATATTTTTAAAGTAATATTCTGGTCTACAAAGATTACCTGTTATCTATTAATATATGCATTTACGCCACAGCTTTTTTCACCTTCAAGACAGATAAGACTTTGTTCCCTCTTCACAGCTCCTTACTCTCACAAAACTTGTAGCAACTTACTTTTGAGTCAAAGTTGACTGAAATCAACCCCACTAAAGTTATTTGGACATGAACATCTTCTTCCGTGGCACTATATAGCTGATTCTATTAGAAACTAGGACAAATTATCTGTTTAGTATTAAATTGGAAAGCTAGACTTATTTTCTAGAAGTAACAAACATACTAAGCAAACCTGTTTAAAAAGTTACATGACTTACTGAATAATTCACTCCAGTGCAGATGTAACAGTGTTACCCTAGTCTCAAGCAGGCTCTAGCACAGCAATGGAGGCCATACAGCTGCACTACTCTGTCTTCACTACTACTGCTGCTGTTACACCCCATCTTCAATGTTCTTCCACAGTGAAATGTAGACATACACTACTGCTGTGGCTCCACAGGTATTTATCCAAACTCCACGTCAGCTGACACAACTCTCTGTGCTACTGAGTGAAGAACTAGACTAGGATTTTTAAGAAAATATGTTACAAAAAAGGTATTCATCTGCACAGATCTGTCTTGGAAATATAGTAGGCTTGGCTTCAATGGGACTGCTCTGGAGCAGAACTAGATATGACTACAAGCATGTTCAGGGTGGAGTTGGTCTTAATTATAGGGACTGTGAGTTTTAGATATGAGGAGATATTTTAATCCTGTGCTTTTTGCATTGTTTCATTCCCTTCCAGCCATGAAATGTTCTTAGTATCAAGGCAAGACAACCCTTTCATAGAGCTCTCAAAACTAAAGAGACATTTTGCAGAATTAATTGCAGAGCTTTTATGAAGAAAATGCATGTGCATACACATTCAAATTCCTTTCTATAAATCTTAAAAGGAGCTTCTATATACAGGTGGTGGAAAAATGGTGTAGTATTGATTAAATCAGAAGTGCCCTCTGCTGGGGGTGAGACTAACTGCAACGAGAAGTCTAGAAAAACCACTAGGTAAGAATGTTAATAGCATTCTGATGTCTGAAGTGTTTGGATTAAAAAAAAATCAAGCCTGGTAGGCCCTGTCCAAGCTGTTCCTCTCCAGCTTGACAGTTGCAAAGTACTGTTTAATTTAACTACTGAATAAGGAGTACTGAGACACTTACTTCTTAATAAGTAGCTTAGGTTTTAAGTTTACATCCATTTAACACCATAAATTTAGGTTTTAAGTTTACATCCATTTAACACTATAAATTTGTACAAACCCTCATGTCAAGATTTGGACTGTAATATGAAATAGTGTAGTTTGGTTTATAAAACTTATTACCAACTTCAGTAAAAACTCAATACTTGTCAACAGGAACAATGTACAGGGAAAATCCATGACCAAAAAATTTTATCTATTTTGGGTAGTATGTATAATACCACTGATCATAACGATTTAACAATATCTGAAATGGAACTTTAGTTCTCAACTGTATGAAAAGTGGTTTGTTCAGTTCTTTTAAGACTGAACTACTATTTATAGAAAAATTAATAACCATGGGACAATAAATACAGTCACTCACAATGAAACTTCCAAGTTAAAAGGTAATAAATGAGAAAAGTACAAGATTCTCAGAGTAGCGGTGTTCAGACAAGCAACACAGAGCATGCAATAGATGTTTAAGAACTCTGATTTCTTCCTGTTTGAATTTAATGGGTAATACTAATGCTACTGATACTAAGTCCATGAAACCTGGAACTAATCCTAAAAAGAAAGCTGTATGGTCAATGTGTGTCCTCACAATTGATAGCAGTCTTTATGCTGATGTACATCAGCAACAATACGCCAGCATGATGATGACCTGATCACTTGGCAAGGTAGTAAGTAACAGCCAACACTGCAATAAGAAATGAGGCAAAACATTTAAAATGCTGAAATAAAGGTAAATCGAACCCTTAATTCTCAGTCGTGTGAAATAACTACATAACTTAAAATTATTAATTCATCCTTGAACTAATTCATAGCTTCAACTGATATATAGACAGGGATGCACACCGTACAGCAGTGTATCATGCATTCTGACAACTGACATTCCCCTTTGTGAAGCAAGGCAGCAGGCAGGTGCATAAGTACTTCATTCCATCAAACCCAAACTTTCATCTTATCCCTCTGACCCAGATGAATTTATAGAATAGGTGCTAGAACAACAGGGTCTCAACAAACTGAAAAAAAAAACAAACCTCAGGCACAACCAACATTTTGCATTTGTTAAAAAAAGAAAAAAAAAAAAAAAAAAAGAAAGATCAAACACAATGATGCACTGTACACAGTGTAGCTGCCCTCAGAGCAAGTCACCTTCACGATTCTTTTTCAGTATTTCGGTAGAGCTGCAAGCGAACCCCTGCCAAAAAAGTCCAGGAACGAGATCCACACGTGGATCTGTTTGTTACCTGCTGGCAGACGAAACCTAACCTATATAAAAAAAACCCTGGAAAATCTCTAGCGGGCCAGTCCTCCGGGACAAAGTACTTACACTGAGACCGGAGTCGAACGGTTCCTCCGAGAAACCCTTGCCCGTGGCGCGCAAGGAGCGCATGCCCTCCTTCCCGCCACCCCAAGGGCCGGCGACCGTGCTC